AGCCGTTGGGGAATTTTCCAGATTCAAACCTTCACTTATAATTTCTAAATAACTTGATAAAGAGGTTAAAAGAGCCAATGTTTCAGAAAATAATAGAAAAAAAAATATTTTTCTCAATTTTGAAAGAAGACATTAGGTCTTTGTGTGAAAGCAGATATAGAATGAATATGGTAAATCATTTTTTACAAAAAACCTTCTACCCAGATATTTTATGGCAAAATTTCCAAGGCAATCATAAGAGTTTCAAGAAAGAAACATATAAATCTACAACGGAACAAAAATCAGATTCACATTAGACACTGATAATACTAATGAAAGAATATAATAGACAATAGCTTCAAAAGTAGAAAGGAAAACTCTGAGCCAAGAATCCTACACCCAGCCCAACTATTGCTAAAGTGTGAAGATAAAGATATGTCCAGGGTATAAAGATAACCACTAAAGGGTTAGGCTTTTGTTTTGTTGGTCCTATGGATTGAGCCCACAGGCACTTTACTACTGAACTACACCCCCAGTCCTTTTTATTTTTATTTTTCATTTTGAGACAGGGTCTCACTAAGTTGCTGAGGCTGGCTTTGAATTTGCTATCCTGCCTCAGCCTCCCAAGTCATTGGAATTACAGGTGTGCATCACTGTGCCTGGCTTGCTTTGCTTTTTAATAGTTAAAAAATGAGAAATGACATAAAAAAATCCATGAGTTATATGCAAGGTATGGCATATTCAAGTAATAATGCACTAATATATAATTAAATGAAGGGATTAGATCTACATGTAGCAGTACTGATAAATCTCAGAAAAGCAAGTTGTCACAGGATATCACAGCATGTGCCATATGCACACTGACATCGTCCACATCATCATCCAACAAATGCTCACATAGTCCTTCCTGTGTGCAGGCACAGTGTTAAGCCCTTTCTGTATTTTAACTCATTTAATGATCACAAAAAGCTCTGGGAAGCAAATTATTATATCATTTTATAAACTAGAGAATTGCGATTTGGAGAGGTTAGATAATTTGTCCCAAGTCACAAAAACTAATAAATAATAAGATTAAATGTGAATCCAGGCAGATGAGCTCAGAGTGCACACGTGGTCCCCCACAAAACATGCTGTGTGCTCCTTGTAGAGTCACCTTCCATAGCAAATCTAGGAAAGCGAGGACAGGAAGACAGACCAGCTTCAGGACATTCGTTACCTTTGGGAGGTGCAAGAAGGAATAAGATAGGGAGAGATGCCAGCCCCAGCTGAAGTGTTTCATCTCATTTAAAAAAAAAATGGAAAGCAACTATAGCAAAGCATTGTCATGTTGAATCAGGGTGCCGGATGTGGAGTGTCTATTATCCTCTGAGATTAGGTACATGTGTAAAATGTTTTAAATAAAAATAAAGTCATAAATACCATGAAGTTAAAAAAAAAAGTCTCTCCAACCCAGCTTGTACCCTTCCAGGGAGGCAGAGGTCAGAGATGGGCGAATAACATCCTTGTTTCAAAAAGACTTCATGAAACAGAAATGCAGAGCTCATGACCTGTGACTGAAGAGCTGTAACGCTCTTGCTGTTTGGTGGCACGAAGTAAAATCTGTATCTCAAACCAAGATGGCAATTCCCAAATTCATCAGGTTCATTACCGAATCATAAATCTTATCAGCCTCTATTCCATCAGATGAGTCAGGAGAACACTTTCTGGACTGCCTTTTGTTCTCATTTTGCTGTGAATTTGGGCCTCTGACTGTTTCTCTCCACTGAAAACCACAGCCAGGCCACCAAGATGACTTGTTTTTACAGTTTAAATGCAAAGAGGTCTCCCAGGGAATCCACACCATTGTTTACAGTGTGATCCAATTATGATCTCTAGATTTCATTCCATCAGACCTACCAGAGAGATCTATGGCTAAAATTTAATTTTAGTACACTTCTCATGTGGAGGTGACATTTTAAGAATCAGCTGCATAATCAGTGTTCTTACTTTTATTATTACACCAATTAGTTTTTGCTGAATTCACAGAGAATGAGTGGCAAATCAATCGAGTATTAGCCGATTCCCTTTAACCAACTTTGAGTGCTTTATGCTAAACACAAAACTCTTTTCTAAGTGGGGGTGAACACACAGAAATACACATGAAAAAAAAGTCCCTGTTTTCAACAACTCTCCAGTTGGTAACAGAAACATGACATTCACACAAATAACTATGATGCAAACTAGAATATCAAAAATGCCTATGAGGCCAAGTGCAGTGGCCCACACTTGTAATCCCAGCAGCTGGGGAGGCTGAGGCAGGAGGATTGCAAGTTCAAAGCCAGCCTCAGCAACAGGGAGGTGCTAAGCAACTCAGTGAGACCCTGTCTCTAAATAAAATACAAAATAGGGCTGGGTTGTGGCTCAGTGGTTGAGTGTCCCTGAGTTCGATCCCCAGTAACAACAACAACAACAAAAAAAGTGCCTATGAGCTGTACGATTGGCCCCCTCTACCCATGGTTTCTGCTTCTGGAGATTTACTTGACTGTGATCGAAGTGTTTTCCCATTGCCTAGGTACTGAACATGTTCAGACATTTTCTCTTGTCATTATTCCCTAAATAATACAGAATAAGAATTTCTATGTGGCATTTCCATTGCATTAGAGTTATTGTAAGTAATGTAGAAATGATTTCAAGTACATGAGAAAATGTACATAGGTTCTAGGAAAATGCCATGACATTTTACAAAAAGGACATAAGCATCTTTGGATCAGGTGTCCTTGGGGGTCCTGGAACCAATTTCCCATGAAGGCCGGGGGAGGAGGATACACAGTAATCAGCCCACGGGATTCCAAGATCAGAAGACTTTCTGGCTGCTGAGAATTGAAAGCAGGTTATCAAGAAAGACTCCTTTGTGGTAATGAGGTTTAGGGGAGGTTTCAATAGCTACAGTTTCAGGAGCTGGACAGAGAGAGGCAACTTGGGGGGCAACGGTAGAGAAACACAAGTGTGTTGACTGAAGATTCCAGGTAGGCAGGAGGCTAAAACAGAAAATGAGGGTAGAATGGTGTATTGGTCCACTTTCAGTTACTAAAACAAAATTCCTGAGGCTCTTACTTAGAAAAGATTGGCTTATAGTTCTGAGGTGCCAGTCTAAGATCTGGAAGTTGCTTTGGGCCTCTGGGGAAGGCAGTGGGACAGAGGGCATACAAGACACCGCAGACTGTTCAGATCCTGAGCAGGAAGCGGGCAGAGAGAGGAGAGCAGGGTTCCACACTCCTTTTCAAGGCCCCCCGCCTCCTGCCAATGGCACACCCTGTGGACCACGCCTTCCACCATACCCTTGGGGAAATACCCACCCAAAGTTGACAAATGTTACTATGTAAATTGCTTTGGGCCGAAACCGCTGGAAGGCTGGCTGTAGCAGATTTAACGTGAGGCTCTGAGGGGTCCCCCTGGCAGGGTCCCCAGAGCTGGCCTGTCGGTGAGCAAGCTGCCCTGAAGCTTAGCTCGACGAAGGACCCAGTTTCTTCCCTCTGTGCTCTCCCACCCTTGGGCTGGCTCATGCCCAGGAATCAGGCAAGCCCAGCAGCGTCCCCAGACAGATTGGCCCTCTCCTTGACTCTCGAGAGCAAGGGCATCTCCACCATGGCTTCCAGCACACTCCTATATCTGAGTCACATTCCAGAACCAATCTCTGACCAGTGGGTTCGGATCATTCTTCAACCTATCGGCACCTGCCCAAGAAGTCCTGCTCTGTGTGGGATGCGCAGGTTCGTGAATGAGAGCATGCTCCCAGGGAAAAGGAATGAAGGCAAGAGCTGGCCCTGGAGGGCGCCCGCAGTGACCACTCCCGGCACCAACGGTCGCCACGGGGCCTTCCGTGCACTGTCAAGGTTGGCTGTGTTTTTTAGTTCATCTGTCACACATGTGACCTAGAGGGCAAGTGCCTTCACCAGGACAGGGCAAAGCAGCCAGACTCTTTGTGGACACTAAGCGACACGCAGGACTTCGTTTAGGGAGATGAGAATATCAGCGTTGGATATTCAGAGACTTGAAAGGAAGAATTTGTAGAAATAGATTGTTCATGTGCTCAGAAGGAGTGTGGCTTCTCGTCAAGACCACGACGTGTGGTCTCACTAGCTGCCCTCTCTCCCTGCACGTGGGGCCTTCCTCTGCCCTCTCCCTGCCTCCGATCGGCCTGTCGTGAGTGGGCACTGGCTGAAGGACAGCCGTAGCATTCAGGTCCTGTTCAAAGGGTCCTGCCCTCTCCTCCCCTTGGGCACAGAACCGCACTCTGGGTTGGACCTGCACCTCCTTCCTGAGGTACTCCGTCTCCCCAGTGAGTAGCTCTCTCCCGCTCTGTTTTCTTGGCTCAGTTCCCCCAACTGGGCTCCGCTCACCCCTTTCCTCTGCTCTTGCTGTGAAGACTGCCCCAAGGATGCCCTGAGGCCCTTCCCCGCACCCACAGGGTCTCTCCTGCCTCTCACTTTCCTCCACTCACTTTGCCCAGGCACGCGATATCCTTGCTCCTAGGCACCCCAGGAAGTAAGACCGTTTAAATTTATTTTTACTTCTTACATCTCTGAACTCATCCTTGTCGACGTTTTTCCCAGACTTTAAAAATGCCCACAGGGTCACATTCAGAACCGAGGTCACCACAGAAGCTCAGATGCTGGCAGGGAGCCAAGGCCTGAAGAAATCATGCCGCAAACTTGCATCTGAGGTCACGAGTGGCCTGTGTTAAACCACAGCGGGGACGAGGATCATGTCCCCCTCCCTCCTGGGCCACCTGAGAGGCTTCCCTTCTCTCTGGCCTTCTCTAGTGGCTCTGCTCTGGGTCAGTTTCTGCCTGGGAATGGACCAGTGGTGACCTCCCCAGGGGAGAGGGAGGAAGAGTGCAGGCCGACTCCTGCCTAGCAGCCCTCCCTGCTCCATTTCCATTTCCCCTGAGCAATTTCACAAGTCCCCAACGCTGGGTCCATGTGGGGGGGGGAGCCTCAGGGGACAGCTCAGGGGAGGGGAATGAGAGGTGGCTGGGGAGAGAGAGGAGGGACAGCCAACCCAAGGCTGGTGGACTGCAGCTCAGCCAGGGAGCCAGGAGCTTCCCTGGCCTCAGGGAGCCCTGTATGTAGGAACCCCAACCCCCCCTGCTCTCAAGGCCCTCACCAGTCCTTGCCGGGACCCCAGCAGCAGCGAGATGGACCTGTCTCTCTCAGCCCCTCCAGGGCAGAGCTGGCGCTGGGGGCTGTGCATTCCCACCAGCCCACGTTGGAGACTTGAACACATCTTCCCTGAGGAAGAGGCTACACGGGCAGGTAGGTTGGGGTGCTTCCGAGCCTGGACTCTAGGGAAGGCCCCCACACCCTATGTAAGGCAGAGTCCAACCCACTGTCCCCACCACATGGTGCCTTAGCTGCAGACCCAGCCTCCAGCCCCAGCTGCTGCTCCTGAGGTTACTCCAGACGGCTGTGCCTGGCAGGGCAGAGCTGGGCCCCGAGAGGAGCCAAATGGCACCTGGAATTTAGACCCATGCCCTCTGCTGTGTTCAGATGGGACGTCCCGTGCCGCACCTGAAGATCTCCTTGTCAGCCTCTTCCCCTAAGTGCCTCCAGCAGGTTCCTCCTGGTACTGGACAAACACCAGTTCTGCCCATGTCAGGGATCTCGTCGATGGAACTGAAGACAAGCCTGCGGCTTCTCACCGCTCACAGCTTCTTGATCAACCTCCGTCAGGATGGGGTCAACAGCACCGGTCCCTTGCACTGTTTGCTCTCTGACCGCCACAGAGTCACCGTGCTCTTTGGAAGCAGAGGACAGTGGCCCCAGGTTATTTTGTTCTGCAGAAAGAAGGTCAGAGGATCACCCTCACCACAGTGAGATCCCTTCGTCCCTGGCACTTCCTTCTCATGGCTCGGCCCCAAGTCTTAACAGCCCTTCCCTAACTGATAACTGTCATTCTAGAAACCACTAGTTATGAAATGTGCCTTCGCTCCACACTTGGTTTGTTCCAGCAGATTTCTAATCTGAAGCTAGGGATCAGCAAGTCACCCCTTAGGTTGGCCCTGGATGGGGTGCGGGGTCCTGGGACCACAGCTACGGGAGCTGTGGGAGCTGAGACCTGTATGGGAGGCCCCATATTCAGGAGGAGCACTGTAGAAAAGCCCCCAGGGTTCCAAGAAGCCCTCTTTAGAAAGTAACAAAGTTAAAGACGATACTTTCCAGATTTCAGAGATTTCCCAATAAAACCCGAATCCTTCCTTTCAAAAAGTAGACCAGGATAGTAGTGCGGTCGTTATTAAAAGGTCCAGCGGTTTAAATTGCAGGCATCAAAAATCATCCAGGACCAGCCTGTCCTCTGGCTCTGTGCCCACATTGTCATTTGATTAATAAGAATATACATTTCCCTGTCCTGCAGACTATCAAGTCAGGAAGGAGAAAGTGTTGAAGGCCGCGTGGGGCCCAGGAAGAGGGGGACTCTACTCCAGTGGTCATTTCAGCTGCACATGTGGGGACGGTCCCGTGCTGGGTGCACACATGCTGAGAAGATCGGGCCGTGGTGGTCTCTTCTAGATTCTTCTGCCTTTTGGATACAAGGTCCCGGCTTGCTCTCCATGCTGCCTTGCAAAGCTTCCATTTGTCTTCTATGAAAATCACTCAGCTGCCCGCCCAGGGTGGTGCTCTGGGTGGACGTGCTCACGCCCAGCCCCCATGGGCAGTCCGTGGTGGGCCTGCACCTCTCTCTCCCAGGAGAGGGGAAGCAGGAAGGGCCGTCCACAGCATGTGGCCACCATATGCAGATGGAAGCACCAGGTGGGTGGCAGTGTCCACCACCCATCCTTCTGTCATGAAGATGGACACTTGCTACCCACAGACTAAAAGCATTTCCCACGGACTCAGCTGAAATGTTGGATTCTGGCAGATGATTTGCAATCTGCTTAGTGGGACGCTGACAGACAGAATGTTTACTTCTCAGAGTGAGAGTTCCTCATTCTACCTTTTGTGCCTTTTTTTTTTCTTATGGTTGTTAATCAAAACCTTTTAACTTTTAATTTTAAGTGAAAGAAGATAGCCTTTGAAAATTTGTCAATCACTTCTCTATCCCAGAGCTAGCAAATCCTCTGGGAGGTTTCCCTTGATCTGGGACACATAACTTAAAGTAAAGGAGTGAGTCCACAAAGACTCTCTGGTGAACTGGAGTGAACTGGCTGTGTTAGTCTGTTTTCAATTACTGTATTGAAACACCTGAGCTGGGTACTTATAAGGAAAAGAGGTTTATTAACTCCTGGTTCTGGAGGTTCAAGGCTTGGCCGCAGTGGCAAGGACTTCCCAGCACATGACATCACAGTGGTGGGGGTGCGCACAGGGGGAAACCACGTGGCTAGACAGGAAGCCAGAGTGCAAGGAGGGGGTGGTTGGCTCTTTTTGTAACAACTTTCTCACCAGAACTAACTCCAGGCTCCACAGGAACTACCATTGTCCCTTTCCAGAGAAGCACCCGCAGTAATTTATGGAAAGTCTAGAAAACAAACCAAACCCTGCTCAGCAGAGGGAGAAAGAAGCCCTTCTGGCATAGCTGTGGCCAGGCCTGCAAAGTTCGCCAGGCCCAGCCAAGGGACAAGAGAGGTGTCCTGGGGAGACCCCTGAGCACCAGAATTGCACACCAAGAGCTGTAGGCCTGGGGAGCCCAAGGTCTGGGCCAGCAGGGGTGGCGTCCCTGGGGGACAGGGCACCCCAAGCTGCAAGTGTGGCCCTGCAGTGAGAGGGTGGTAAGGGCCACTCGTGGGCTGCCCAGGGACTGGTCACGTACAGCTTGTATCTCTCCTGGAGGTGTTACTGCCAGAACTAGTGATCCTGACGATTTAAAGGGAAGGACTGTGTGTCCTACCAACCTCTGGAAGCTCAAGTCAAGTTTAATTTGAAGAACAAAAGAACACAGCCTCACTTGTATGCAGGTGGGACTCTGGTCACTCAGGCTAAGTTAGAATTAAAAAAAAAAAAAACATAGAGATGGGTTAGTTCTGATTTGGCACAGAAGAACTAACCAAGTCCAGATTAATCTACATCCTTCCTAAGTGCTGGGAGGTTAACAGAAGGACACACGGCCAGCTGCCAATCTGGTCACTTCCACTGTCAAAACTTGCAAATCCTCCTAATGCGTCTTTCTTTTCAACTTTAAAGAGCGTGTGAGAGATGTGGCACACGCCTGTGATCCCAGCTACTTGGGAGGCTGAGGCAGGAAGATTGCAAGTTCAAGGCTGGTCTGAGCAACTTAACAGCCTTTCACCAAGAAACTGAAAAGAACTGAGTAAGAAGAATCCCTGAGTCCAATCATCAGAGCTGAAAGAGGGAGAGAAAGAAGAAAGAGAGAGACAGAGAGAGAGAGAGTCTGAAGATTTAGGAGGATGCAAACGTTAGCTCTGAATTGGGATTTGGAGACTAAGGCTGGATTTCCAGTTTTCCAGTCGGAGACCTCACTAGGAGAGCCCGAAGATAACTCCAGAAATAAATCTTGGTTTTTACCCTGATGCTGGATCTCTCTCCCAAGCTCCTGCCCTCTTTATCTGACCGCAAGGCCTTATCTCCCCCAGGATGGCGCCCTTCAAAAGCAACATGGCCAATCAAGTCCAGATTAATCTTGGGTTTGGTTTGTTTTCTAGACTTTCCATAAATCACTGCGGGTGTTTCTCTGGAAAGGGACAATGGTAGTTCCCAGTGAGTTGCTTCAGGCCCTCCCACCAGCCTCTGCCCAGCCAAACCGCTGCCCCTCCTCCTGGTTCTCTGTTTGGTGAACAGCACCTCCAGCCTTTCCTCTGGGCCAAAGTCCTAGAGTCCAGCTCCTAAAAAATGCCTTCTCTCCTGTCTCCACTCCCACCACCAAGGCCTTGGGGATCTTCTCACCTTCATCCTCGGTCTGTCCGTAGTCTCCTAATGGGTCCTCTGTCACAGTCTCCTAATGGGTCCTGGCCTTTCCGCTGTCTGTTACCAGAGCAATCTTTTGAGCACCTAAGTCTGGTTTTGCCATTTGCTCCTGGGGTTCTCTGGGAACTCAAGAGGGGCTCCCTGCCCCTTGGCTGTAACGAGGCCCGTGGCCTCTTCTCCGGGTGTCACTCACACCTGCCCTCAGGGCCACCACCCTCCTCCTTCAAGCTCTATGACCAGCCACCCAAGCCCTGGGAGGTCCCCCACCAGCCACCTCTTCTGCGTGCCCTTGTTCTGCCATCATGGTCCTGGGTCCGTCCCTCTGCTTTTGACCTGGTGACAACCTACATAAGAATCCAGGAAGACTCTTCTCTCTGTGAAAAGGAGCACCCCAGATGTCCCCCACAGAGTGCTGGGTGGTTTCTGTCCAGCACTGCTGACACTTCAGAGCAGACCTCTGCATGGAGTCCACCTGTCGGTCAGTCCCTGTATTTGTGGAAGGAAGGAGAGGAAGGGAGAGCCGGATACGTTATTGCCGCATGCTTCCCTCCCCGCCCCCCTTTTATTTATTTGTTTGGGGGTGCTGGGGATTGAACCCAGGGCCTTGGGCATGCGAGGCAAGCTCTCTACCAACTGAGCTCTATCCCCAGCCCCTCCCTCTTACTTATAAAACCCTTTCTAGAGGAACTATTTTTATAAAATTAGGCGAACCTAATTACCAAAAGCAGTCCAGGAATTAGTAATATTTTAAAAAGATATTTGTTTCGTATTGTATGATGTGGCCATTGGTGGAATACCTTAATACTCAGGTTTAAAAAAAAAAACCTGTTGTGACTCTGATGGACATTGGCCTAATTCTGGCGTCCAGACGCCCTTCCTGTGTTTGGAGGTGGCTCTGTGCCTGAGCCTTCTGGGGAGGCACAGCAGCGTCCTCTCTGGTGCTACCGGGCTGGGTACCACGTTCCCAGCCAGCATCCCTTGCAGCAGGACACGGCTCACATGCACAGGGCTCTCCAATGGGACGTACCCATGCGGAGCAGGAGCCTGTGACCTGAGGACACCAGGGCAGCACAATTCTGCCCAGTCCCCAAGTCTGGTCCTCCAGCTGTCCTAGAGGCCCTCTGGGAATCTCCTTTATGCTTTTGGTTCTTTCTGTTGCGATGAGCAGACCCTGAACTTCCAGGAACCCCGTGGCAGTTGGTGAGTGCTTCTGGCTCGAGTTCTCCAGGCCTTCCCGCGTGGTGATTGACACGGTCTGGTGGATCAAACAGGGAGCGGAGGATTAGCGCATTCCTCAGTATTAGAGGAATTTTTCTAGGCAGATTATCATTCACCAAAGCTTCACTAGGGCAAGTTTTCTTGCTTTAAATAACATCCCTCGGTGCGTGGTATCTGGCATACAGTAAATACTCAGCATGGACTTGCCCAGTGGGCTTATGAAGAGATGTTTTTAATTCAGGACACTGTCACTTAATGTCACTATGTCACATTGATACTAAGATAAAGCCCTACACTTAGAAGAGAACCAACTAAACGGTCTTCAGGAAATCCGTCCACACATGCGATTCAATGATGAGCCCGCTCAGGAGTAATGCTTGTAGATGTTCTAGTGACCTTTTAAACTTAGCAGTTATTTACTGAGGGTTTCCTGGAGATGTTCAAGGTGGTCGCAATCGAGTTAGGACTTCTCCCCGGGCCGCTCCTGATCTCTATGACCCTCGGTTTCTTCTTCAGTAAAATGGAGATGACAATCTTTCCTTGAAGGTTTGTTAACAAAATCAAATGGCGTTGAGGCCCATTTCCTTCCGACTTATTATTCCTTTTCTACTCTAAGTATCTTAAATTCATCTCGGCAACACCCCTGAGCACCTCTCTGCTCATGCACTGTGTTGCTGTGGATGGGAAGGGAAATAAGGCGTGTTCCGACTCTGAAGGATTTTGTGCTGTGGTCAGGGGGCTGGATGAATCAAGGGACCAGGAAATCAGTTGAGGACTGTGATGGAAGCCAACCCAGGGACCATGGGGGAAGGACAGAGGATGGGCATGTAACGGAGGGAGGGGGGACAACTGGAAAAGGGCTCTGGAGGAGATATCCTTGAGGGCGGTCCCAAAGGAGGACAGTCAAGGGAAAGAGAAAGGAAGGGACCGTCTAGAAAAATGAGCGGCATGAGCAGGGGCAAACATGAGAACAGCTCCTCAGAGTTTCTGGGGATTGAAGTTCAAGATGGCGTCGGAGGGAGCCAGGTGTGTGGAGGGAGGAGGGTCCGGTGGTGGATGGCTTTGTATGTTAGTTGAGGATCATGGAGCCCTAGGAGGCTCCACACAGGGAGGTGTTCTCAGAACCTCAGTCTGGAGGTAGTAACGGGGAGGAACATGGCACACCAAGACTGGGAGAAGGGAGGCCTGTTAGGGGCTTACATCCTGCTCCAGGTGAATAACCGTGTTGCTCCAGTGGGGAAACGTGTGAGAGCCAGAGATGAGGGAAAGGCAGGAGCCTGTTAGGGGGAGGCCGAGGGGCCTCCTCAGGGCTCGCCTGTGTTCTGTTTCCTACACACTGTTATGCCCTAAAGAGGCTGGGGGATCGATGGCTGCTACGTGGTCACTTGGCACACCCTCCCCACCGCCACAGCTTCCAACAGGATGGGATGATGGCCCTTCAGACGCCGTGCCCAGCACCAGGTGTGACCGCATGGTTCCAAACATTGTCCTCTGAACTCCAAGATCACAAAGTCATGGAAGAGCCTCCAACACCTTTCCGTGTCAGCACGCGTCTCCACTGTGCTATAAATTATCCATCTTTCTGGGCTTTAGGATAAAATATCTTACATTTTCCAGACAATCTTATTCAGAAGTTCAAATGAGTCTCCAGCCAGGATTTCTTATTCTCACGGAACAGTGTACGTACATTAAAATCAAATGGGAAAAAGGAGAGCAGACAGGATATTAGGGTAAACGTAGGGTGACTCGGGCTGAGACCTGGGCTGTGGCTGCCCCAGTCTGTCCAGTGGAAATGAGGCCAGACAGCTATTTCACAGGGATTTACATTCCCCACCCCCTGAAACAAATCTAATCTCATCCTGGTGCTCACAGGCCAGGTCAGCAAGGAGACTGTCTAAATTCAGAGCCCAAGATTCAGATATGCTGGCTCAGTTCCCAGGAGGCCAGGTCAGGATGAGAACCAATATTTCAATGGCTTAGGATTAGGAAATACACATATCCAATCTTGTCTGTTAGAGAAACAAACACGAAACCGCGAGA